GGAGCAGTGACCTGTCAAAGGCCATGTGATATAAGCACGCTGCCAGCAACGAAACGCTGGTGAGCCTCTGTCTTTCCTGAAGTGATGGGGCCATGGCTGATGGGTCTGCTCCTGTATGCAATTCATCAGCACCTAGAGGAGCATCCCCCAGAGCAGACTGTCTCCCTGCCATGCACTTCTTTATCTCTCCGCACGTGTAGCTGAGAAAGGAAGGGCAAGAAAGCAGCCTTGCTAGAGATGACTGTAAGGACAGTTGGACTGTGTCCATACATGGTCAGACATGAGATGTGGATTTCATATCCCTGCATCTATTCTTGCATATAAGCTTACGTACGTGCACACATGGCTAATTCTGTGCTTAAGGATTATATGCCTCTGTCTGGGTATATCTCTGGGTTTTCACATCTGCCCCTGTGTGTGACTGACTGGATGAAAAGCACATCCATATGCTAACAGCCATCATCAGCTTGCACACGGAGAGAGAAATGCACACTAATTCTCCTCTCTCTGAGACCAAGGTAAAAAGCAATGGATCTAATATGATACAAATCAGAAGAAACACATCGGCTTCAGATGGGTCATGTTGAATTATCCCAGTGGAGAACCTGATTGAGCAGGCCTGATGTACCAACATCAAGCAGGCATTCAGATGCCAGGCTGATGGACATTGTTGGGAAGGGAGTAGAGTAGTGCAATACAAAGAGCAGAACAAAGCCAAACAGGCAACCTTTTCTACTTTATGCAGATCTGAGGGAGATGCTGACAAGTAATTAATTGCTTCCAGCCTACTTCCTGGGGTACTTTTATTGGTCTGAAACTGATCCTTTATTTTGCTTTTTTCTTTTGATAGTGGGAGAAAAAAGTTATTTGACAGTGCCACAGTTGTATTTTTCTTGGTGAGAAGGAACAGTGTGCTGTGACATTTTACAAGAAAGCACGCCTAAATGGGCTGAACAAATAAGGAATTTGCACAATGCAATTGCAGGCAGTAATTAATTTTCACAGTGCAAAGCAGTTCTCTAGGAAAGATTCGCAGAGGTAGTGATGGGCAGTTCTATGAACTGAGATTTATCACAGTGGTTTGTTGCAAACAGAATCAGATTAAGACAGATGAGTTATCAGCACAGCACAAGAGTAATCTTGCACGCATGGTATTTGCTGTTACTTGAACTTCACCTTCTTTTTCCATGGCAAACAGCAGAATCTAGTACATTTCTGCCCTTCAAAGCACTAGCACACTTAAGCACCATTTTCGTGGCTCGTACTGAAAACTTTGAAGAAATCAGTAGATTTCTTCAGAGTTTCATTCTGTTAAAACAGCTGTGAATTTAACGGTAAATGCTGGTACTTCTTTTTCCTCTGCTTCAAAGAACTTTGTCACTCTAAGGGCATAGTCTGCATGAATAGTCAGCACTTGATCAGAAGGCCAAATCCTCAAAATACTGCAAGTTTGGTACCACTGTTAGCAGCCAGATTCTCAAAAGAGCTCAGCAGTGTGTATGGTTTAATAATCCCCCCTCCCTTTATTTGGCAATCTAACCCTTTTCCACATCTCTGCTATGCTGACAAATATGGAGTGAGTGGAAGGCAAGTAAAACGATCCATGGGATTTATTCTTCCTCCTGGATCAGCTAAGCCCTACCTGCCATACAGTTAAGCTGTATTACTAGACATGCTCCTTGCTACCCTGTGAGAAGCCCTGCCTATCCCTTCAGCACTGCCATATCGTTTCTTTTGATATGTCTAATCATCTGTTTCCTTCCTTCCTTCCCTAAAAATCACCTAACACCCCACTCTTGCACATCAGAGCATGGAATAACAAGTCCAGCCTTCAGGCCTCAGCATCAGATAGGCGCAGGGGGAGGAGCGGGATGGGGTTTTCCTGAGTCTCTTTGCCCAGCCACTTTCCGCTCCCCCCCTCGTACACCTTATCAGGCAACAGCAGCTGCGTCAGGAGCAGCCACTGACCTCGGGCAGCTACAAAGGCCAGGTCCATATGTGCTGACGTCTTCTTGTCTTGCCCAGCTGTTCTGTGATCTCCCCAGGAAGAGATGAGTGCAATCTGTCTGTGGTTCACATAGTCCTTCCAGCCGTTTGATTTATTTCAGCATTAGCGTTCGTATCTGCCCAGCTCCAGAGCAATTTCTCCTTTCCCAGAGGACAGTCAAGGTGACATCTCATGCTCCTTTTCAGTTCAGTGGCAACCAGCTGTGTTGTTTTGCCCACAGAAACCACTGCCATTTTCAAAGGCCTTCCCTTATGCACGTGATTGTTCATTCCCATATCTGCAGTCTCCCACAGCTCACGTTCCCCTCCCAAACACTGCACAGCAGGACAGCAGATACCCTTATCCCTGGTGCACCTTCACTGGTTCAGGTGCGACCTGCTCCAGGGTTCATTCCCCCTGGTGCCTTTGTTTTATAAAACTGCATCTTCCCCTTCCTCTCCAGCCACTGCTGCCACAGAAACAGTGAAAAGCAGTTCTGAAGATGGGGAAATGAGGGGTTTGGGGTGTTTTGACCAGAGCTGTATCCCAGTTACTGACAGGGAGGGTTAGGGAGTCCGGAGCTAGGCCTCGCTGGCCAAGCTGTTGGCAGAGTAATGGCATCATCTAGTGGCCACACAGGTCCCTCGCACGGGGCTTTGCAGGGAGCCGGGACCTCTTTTCTCACGCATGAATTGGAATTGCCAAATGAAATGGGAATGCTTTTAAGGTGGGAGCGGAGGGGAGGGAAACCTGCGCAGGAACCTGCTGGAGAGCCCCAGGAGCCCCTGGCCGGCGAGGCACTCAGGGGAACTGGCCGTTCCCTGGCACTGCTAAGAAACATCTCCTTTCCCCACCTCATTTTTTAACAGAGAAACGGCGAGGTGGACAGTGGAATGAAAAGCCACTTTGTGTATTTAGATGGCACTGCCATCTAATTTTCTAACCTCCTCCTTTCGCCCCCTGGGTCAAGCAGGCCATGGATGTAAACACCAACTCACACTTCGTGTGAACCCCAGTTAAAACTTCCTAGGCAGCTTCTCTAGTGTTCGTACGAGACACCTATAGAAATGAATCCAAATTAATAGTTATTCTACAAGAAAAGACTAGAATACAAACTCGATGAACTCACCTCACTGATTTCCCCTACTTTAAATCTGAAAAAAAAGGGTGCAAAACTTTCCATTTCACTCCAAGAGTGGACTCTTGCAGCATTGCCAGGGTGGAGTGCGCTTCCGATGGTTATCTGAGCGTGAGTCAGTGCCTTTCTTGAGCAACGCAACCTTTAACTCTGCATTTCCAGGGTTTTTAATGTTTGGTTTAAAAATAAAAGCAAAATAAAATAAACTCTTCCAACCCTGATATTTTGGTAGAATTATATTTACTGCAGCTGAATCTTAACTTCATCATCGTGCAGTTCTTCCTGTGGGATTTAGCTAATGTTTGCAAAGCGCTTGATTTATGATGAACTGTTGAAAATTACGTTTAGGGCTGCTATGCAGCTGAGGGTCTGCTGTGCTTTCATTATTATTGTTGTTGTCAGACCATTTCTTACCTCAAAGACCCTTTGACAGTTCTCTTTCCCCCATCCCCACAGTCTTGCTTCCCACCTTTCCCCAGTACTTGCTTGGGAAGCAGTCGTATTGCAACAGTATCAAGAAGACAAGCAGAGAATAAGTTTACTTTCCTGCATTGGGTGCTGTTGTTTTGGTGACACCCTATTCATTACACATCTGTGGTGTTTATTTCCCCTCTCAGGGTGCAGTGCTTTGCGTTGATTAATCCAAAATGTTTCCTGGTTTCCTCCAGTCCCTGTTGCTCTCATCTCCTCAGGCTTCGGTACATGTTGTTTCCCTTCTCCCATGGCCCTTTCTGCTGCAATGTCACCCCCAAATGCTGTGGGACAATGCCAGAGAGACCTCATCCATCAGAGGCATCTCCTCAGGACATGTGAAGAAGCAAGTTTGTGTTTAGTCAATTTAGAAAACCTCCAGCCACCAGAAGGTTTGGCTTGGCTTCCAAGTTGTGAAGGGAAGGAAGATGGGGAGTGGGGGGAAGTACATGCCATTTCCAAAAAAAAACCTAAGCAAAATCCCACAGCTAGGAAAGTCAAGCATGTTTCAGCATGGAGAGGAGTGGTGACTAGAGGTGTTGGCAAGGACATGGAGACACAAAGCAGGTTAGTGTGAGAGTTGAAACAGGCATCTGCCACCAGGAAACCTCCTTACTAACTGTTGTTTTTCCCTCCTCTGGCAGGTGATGGACAGCTCGATGCCCCTGATTGGGGAGCATGTGGAAGAGGACAGACAGCTTATAGCCGATCTGGTTGTTTCCAAAATGACTCAGCTTGTCATCACTGCTGGATCTACGCCGTCACCCCTGAGGCCTTGGGTATGAGCGAATAGAGACCTTATGGCCAAGTTGTTTTCCCGAACTTTTTTTCTCTCTCTCCTCCCTGGGGGTGTCAGGCAGTCAGACATCTCAGAGAGTTGAACAGTCTCATATGGGAGTGTATTGGATAGATTGACTTCTGCTCTTCCAAAGAAGTCTCTCAAAGACTCTTTGCAGTGGGTGCCCTTAAGAAACACCTCTCTCTCCCTTCCTCTCCTTCCATATAACTATGGCATCATGCCAGTAGTATGGTCCATGCATCTAGACATTCTGGCTTGCTAAATTCATAGATTCATATTGAAGACAGCCATTTCTAGAGGTGCTTGTAACACCCGACTTCACCTCTGTCTAACACCGTCCCTCAGGATAGGTTTCATTCCAGTTTTTGCATCCCTGATGAAAATCTGTGCTTCCCAGACCGGAAAGTGGGAATCTCCACCAACAGTTGTTCTATTCCTTACTGCAGCCTTTTTTCTTTGGAGATACCCTTCACCGCCTTGGAGGAGGCTTGACTAATGCTGAATTCATATAAGAACCTCTCATTTTTGCATTTAAACTGACTCCTTAGTGCTTCTCGTACATTCATTTCAAGTATCAAATGCATCTAATCTTAGTGCCACATTTCCCAGTGGCAGTTCTGTATAAATGACACACACCAGAACATAATCTGTGTCTCCAGGTATATGTGCTACACCTCTTTCAGTATCTGGCAGGGAGCCAAGCACAAAGGTTTGAGGACAACAAATCTGTACAAAAGAAAGGACAGGAGAGTAAACAGGCTGAGGGATAATACTGACTGCAACACACTGGAGCAGTTTCCATGTCCACTTGAGACAAAAAAATGGGAGAAAGGACTTTATGGCTCTCTGCCTTTGTCCTATGACAGCCCACTCCTGCTAAAACAGGTCCCCAGCATGAAGGGTATTCAGGGTAACTCCAAGTTTTAGCTAGCAAGAGGGGGAAGCATTTAATAGACACTAAAAATGCTTTCAGGCAGGAAAAGCGATACAGAAGGGATAGGATTTACCCTGGCCAAAGTGAAATCAACAACTGCCATCTGAAATAACCAAGATATAGAGTGTATAAACTAAGAGCAAAGGGGAAGTCAACAGAAATGGAAAACATGGACAGATGTATCTGTTGTCTATGTAATATACTGGTACAGGATTGGATTGGATTACAATAGACCCAAAAGAGTGCTAAAATAAGAACAAAATAAATTGTCTTGGAGCGATAGGGTGTCAAATAGAAGAGTTAAATAAGAAAAGGATTTTCATCAAGAATACAACCTACAAATATCTATATACAAAATCAAGAAAATTAAAACCATGAACATGTTAACTACAGTGTTTTGCTGTAGAGGAAGATCTTGGTACAACAAACATTGCAGAAACTGCACAAGCTACAACTACTAATACAATGCTTGTAACACCTACTTACAAATGTGCAGAGAGAAGTAATTACATGTGAGGCTGGTGAGATGCAGAACTAGAGCTACAGGAGAAGATTTCACAGAACAAAGAAAAATAATTCTGAATAGAAGGACAGCAGTACTGAATACATAGAAATATGAATCCTTGGATATCCTATGGGTATGCATAGAATATCTATACATATTATTGGAGCTGTCTCTGGATCAAGAAAAACTGAGAAATTATGAAACCGAGTGCACAGCATTGACAGAGGTGAAAGAAGCAACAAGTCATAATAATGTGAGACTACAGCTATCAAGAAGCAAGACAAATAGCACAGTGGGACAGCAATTCGGAGACAGTTGCCCATCTCTGTAGATGTCTGCTTCCTGGAACTGCAAAATCCAAGTACAGTAGGAAAAAAACACCTTTGCCTAGCCTTAAGAAACACCAAGGTACAAATTTAGAAAGTGAATATATACTATTAGGTTTGATGTCCAAGGGACAGATGTGATATCAAAAAGTAATGGTATGACAGAAACAATTAGAAAATATTATTTTAATAAAATGAGAAAATTAATCAACTCCCTAGCATTAAAAGTAAAGCTGTCTCCCTAGCATTAAAAGTAAAGCTGTATGGACGTTATTGAGAGACCATTGTTTTCCAGAATGCATATATACATTTCTGATCTGCTCCTGAACCAGGAATGCAAGAAGTAAACTTCTAGAGTTAAGTGGTAAAGTGCTAAAGGATATTGAAGACATATAGAAAAAAAAATCTTCCAAATTTGGAAATCTGACATTTAAGAAGACCTTTATGCACCACCATGCAAGTAATAAAAGGAAACATAAAAAGGATAGAAATTGATTTTGAAGAACAGATAGAGGGAAGAATGAAACAAATTGAGTTCATCAAAAGATGGAACCCTACCAACAATTGGTGGGCTCTATGGATCATCCAAAGTTAAGGGAGAAAAGGAAGACAACAGGGACAGTGTAAATTTAATTGCTGAAAGTGAGGAACTTTTAAAACTAGATATAGTTTTGATAAGAAAGACATGAGTGAGAGCAAAAACAGTGATTAAATCAGTGATGACTGACATTTTAAAAAACTATTAAGCCCCCAGACCCAGGTGGTGACATCCAATGAACTGAATTTAGGAAGTGACTAAGCTGCCAAGAAAAAATGTGCAGTTTCATTAGAAACAGTTTTTGCTCCAGAGGATTGGTGTACAACAAATACAAAATAAGTGTTTAAAAAGTCGTAAGAGTCATGGACCTTATGAATTTTCTCAGACAATAATTTAAAGAATAACACAGAAGACTAATAAACCAACAGAACCATGGCTTAAGATCATCTACCACATTTTTTTTGCAAAGAAAAATGTCCCATTAATTTCCTTTTGATTCTTTTCCCATCATTTCTTCGACAATTCTTTCATAAAGTGGTAGATAACAGGCAATCAGTCAAAATAATGTAGCTAGACTGTCAAAAAGCCTTAGGCAAGGTAACAGACAAGTACTATTAAAGAAAGCAAGCAGGGAAGGGCTAAAAGGAAAAGTTTCATTGTGGAACAGAAGCTGGCCTCAGATAAAGAAATAGGTATGAGAGATTTTAATTCTTGCAAACAGTTAGCAGAGGGGATATGTAAAGAATGCTAAGCCCGGTCATGTTGATAATTGGGTTAGTTGAGCCCAGGAGAGGATAAGTTGTTAATGACAACCTTTTTTTCATGGCTACAACATGAAACCTGGTTTCATGGTTACAGCTGCGGTTCTCTCCTCACCTCTCTGCCCCACCTCCATCCCTTCTCATCGCTGTTTCCCTTCCGAAGACAGAAGACCTTGGGCTGGCCCTCACCCCTTCATCTCTGAGTCTCAAAATCCTGTTTTGCCTTCATCGCTGAGAAGGCTTGGGGTGGCTGTAGGCAAACACCGTAGAGGTGAATATGAGATATGATTCCTTTTCTTTGGCTGGTCTAATCAGAATGTTTCACAGCATTAGGACAATAAATTTCCACCAACACCAAGGGAAGGCTTGGTGTCCCACGCTGTGCAGGACTAGAAGCCATGAATGGAAAATTCCCAGGTTTTCCTCCCCGTCCATTTGGCAAGTCCTAGAAAAATAGTGTAAAAGATGGGCTGGCAACCCCATCACATGTATGCTTGTCAGTTGAAACTCTTTTCAATGCTTCCAACTATGAAACATTTCTTCCCATTTCCAGAATCACTTAGCTCATTCTCCTGAGCTTGAAGGAGCCTTGAAGACCCTTTTATCACTGTGTTCTTCATGTAAATAATCCAGCACGTATCAGCCTATCTGTCTCCAGCTTCCCCTGCTTTCACAAACAATTTTGTGCAATAGGCTTACTCAGACTTTTGTTAACCTTGGACCAGCCCTTTACGCAAGAGTTCTGTGTTGCTTAATCTGATTATTAAAATATCTGTCAAAAAGAGTAAACAGTGAGAGAGAAGAAAATGCAGATGGCACCAACTTATTTGAGTTAGTCAGGACGAGGGATGGCAGTGAAGAACATCTGACAGAGCTATATATGTTAAGTCACCACAACAGCAAATGAAACTCCTTATAGAAGATTGAAAGGTGAGCTAAGCTGGGGGTGGAGAGAGAGAGAACATAAACAATCTATAGACTTTGCAAGTGGCATTAGCTATGTCCCCTGAGAAAGACATTGTCGCATACAGGCTAATGAAAACCATTGCTCAGCCTATGGTTGTGTTGACAAGGGAGAAACAGGAAATTAGGATGCAGAAGAAATGAGCTGGTGATATATACAGAGAACCCAGATACTGCTGCATCTGCAATAATGTAAACAGACCTGCCTCTGGCATCTGCAGAAGGAATCACAAAGCTGGGAAAGAGAAGTGGGTGATGAAAACAATTAGGAGCCTGGAAACATTCCCATGGAGGGACCAAAGGGATTCAGTCTCTTGGCTTTAGAAAGGAGAATGAGAGAGAAGGCAGTAAAGGTTTGCAAAATAATGAATGGCCTAGCAAAGGCAGGTTGTGAGAACTATTCTCAAAACTCAGAACAAGCAGTGGAGTTAAGAAATGGGAAAAGCAGTGAGGCTGAGCAAGAGTCAAAGGGTCTGGGTGTAAATATTAAAACAAGTATCTGGAACTGTTGCAAAGATTTTGTGGAGCAGATAGTAAGCTTCATGTTTCAGGGTTCAAGCTGGCCCTTGCCTATTAGCAATCAAGAGGAGACCCCTTAGGGTAAAAAGATGATTACTCCATAGATGTTTCCATGGTTCATCTCTCCTTCCTTTGGAACATCTGGTGCTGGCAACTGTCCAAAATGGGAGATGGGACTAAGAGACCCCCTCGGGCCTGATACATTTGGTAATTCCTGATTGCCTAAAAAACATTCTAAATTGTAACTTCATTGTTATTCCCTGTGAGCAAGCAACTTCTGTGCTGTTTATTACTCAGCTCTCCATTTTAGTCCCATGAGATTTTACCAGCCAGATGCTGCATATTGTGTGTGTGTATATTTTAAGGAACACTTCATGACTCCGCAGTTCCTATATTACCTCAGGGCTTCTCTTTGGGGAGTCTGTTTTAACTGGAATGGCTTTTTTCCCCTCTAGCCTCCACAAGTTCAGCCTGCGTCAATGAAATCTCAGACTGGACCTCAGCTTGGACAACTGTCCCAACCACGGCCTCCTCCCCAAGGTACGTTTCTTCGGGCCCCATGACAGTGTGGACTGTCAGTTTTCCTTCTAAATAAAAGCTATCAGAATAAAGGTTTCACTCATTGTTCCGATTCACCGACAAGCAGGCAGCAAATTCAGTGTGCTGTTACAGCAGCTGCTATCATATTCCACAGCAGCTGAGAAAGTGGGGTGAAACTTTGATACAGATCCAGTTGACACTGCTGGTAGGACTCGGCTCAGCAAAGTGAGGCCACTTGAACTGGCACTGGAGCAGGATTCTGGGCACAGAGTGTATTTGTGTTTGCACAAAGCTGTAGTGGCTACAAGTGTTAAGAAGTGATGGGAAGATGCTGGTGCTGTCAGGCTTGGAAGAGACACCAAAGTGGTGATGCCAGGATCTTTGATCTATCTGTCCAGGTGTTCCCCTTTCAGCAAGAGCACATCCCCAGCTCCTCCTGACAGCAGAAGCAGGTTTGACTTATGTGGTTGGTCAGAACAACAGACTTGGTTTATTGTCCTGATCTACGCTGAGGTGATAAAGCACAGGGCTGCCCTGTGGGTACCCAGACCACACCAAGCACTCAATTCACATAACCAATTAGACCCTCCTTTGTGCCACCTTTGTCCTTTCATTTCTCCAGCCCCATCTCCTACCAAGTTAACACCCACCTCTAATTACCTTTTCCTTATCGGTCACAGTTTTGCTGTATCCAAAATTTGGTATTTCTGATACCAAAGGCATCTATGTAATCTTGGCATTATACGGTGTTACTGATATGCTGACCTAGGAATTGCTGGCCTTGCAGGATACTACTTCTCCATCTGTCTCCAGTATTCCCCTTCAATTCTCTGTGAAGTTTTTTCTCACATAACTCCCCCTTGACCACCTGTGAAATCCAGACAGCCCTCACAATGCCATCCGTAACTTTTGTCAGCTTCTCACACTGTTATCTGTCGTGTCCAGCAATTTCTCATGTCACATCCAATTATTTTCCACATCCTCTTCAGTTTTGAGAGTCTGCTACCAATGTGGCTGAAGCCACCTGCTGATAATGCTGGAGCAGATACATGGATAGCGATAGAGTGCACAGTCTCACATCAAGCTGCTGGGCCCATGAAGGGACTGCTGACCCAAACCAGCAGATTCAGCTTTCACTCCCTGCAGAGAGTTGGTTTTCCAGTGACTTCCTTCCCAACACAGGAAGTGCTTGCCAAGGAAAAGAAATATTAGTTACATGGAAAGTACAGCATGTTGAAGTGGCTTCCTTTGGGGAGAGTAGCAGAGGCTCTTCAGTGCTGAAGGAGGTAGAGAAATGGACAACTCTAGAGACGTGGGCATGTCACCAGCGTTAGCCCTATAAAAGAGGTTTTCCCTTATCCGTCTGCATGAAGCTACTCTGAATAGTTTCTCTCCTTAGCAAAACCCATTCTTCCATATAGACGCCCCTTGTTGTCCACCACATGCGCTTCCTCATGCTTATGTCTACATGTCCCTTTCAGGTGGACCACGCCAGCCTCAGGGATCTCAGCCTCCACGGACAAATGCACCTCCACAGCAGCGGCTCTCTCCTCAAGGACAGCAGCCCCAGAGTCCCCAGTCCACTTCACCTCAGCAGCAAAGGTCACCTGGATCTCCACAGCAAGTCCGATCAGCAACTGGGTCCTCTCCAGTCCAGGCTTCCAAGGCAGGCGTGTTCCCTCCACAGCAGCCTAGACCTCCTGCTCAAGGGCGGGCTCCTAGCCAGCCAAGCCCCACTGAAACGTCCAAGCAGCAAGCCACCCCACACCCACATCTGAAGTAGGTGCTTTGTTAAACTGCTAATATCTGTAGATATTAGAATAAGGCTGTCAAAAAAGTACCCTGACCTGGCATGAAGAACATATCACCTGGTGTCAGGCAGTAGCCCACAGGGACAAAGGCCTGGACAACTATGAGTGACTTCAGAGGTATATATGCCTGGGCATAACAGGCCACAATTGAACTGTTGTCAGGAAGAACAAGTTGTACTTGACATCTCTAAGATTTCACATTCTTCCTCTTGCTCATGCGCGCATAGTTAATCATGTGCTCTACCCCGGCCATATCAACACAGCTACTAACTTCCCAGCAGTGTGTATACTCCTTACAGGCTGTAATCCACACACTACTGGCCAGAAAGCTCAACAAGAGTCATTCCTTCACTATTCCCTGAATGCAGGAGCCACACAAGGTTTTTTACCAGGCAGTTTTTTGCAATTGGTAGCAAAAAAAATGGAGGGGGGCGGGGAATGGAAGTGGCACTACTCGTATATACTCCAGATGGTGACTGTATGTTTAAGCGCTCTTCTGGAGCAGAGCATACCACTGAATTATTGTGGATCTTTGGCAGCAGCCTTTGCTGCCACCCTTCATGGAGCGTATCTGGCTGGCACCATGGCAAGAAAGATTGGCAAAAAAATGTTTGGTGTTGACGAAAAGTTGACACAAGAGCAAACTGGTATGAACAGACGAGGACAAAACATAGGCTAGGAATGAGAAGATAGTTTCCAGACAGCAGAGGAGTGATGTTCTGGAACAGGCTTTCAGGGACAACGTCTACATTAGCAAGGCAAACCAGGACCAGTGGACTTAAGGATCAAAATTTTGGTGCTAAGGATGCAGTCTCCACACTACAGATATTTCAGGTACTTTAATTCAGAGTCTGGTCTTGTGCTGAATGCCTATTACTGACCAGGAGAAACCACTCAGTGACAAAGCGTGGTAAGTGGGGAAAATTGAGAGATTTACTTCAAAGGCACAGTCCTGATCTGAACTTAAACACTAGCAGATACACACCCAGCAGGAGCAGTGTGGCCAACCAAAAGACAGCTGACAGTCAGAGCAAACATGCCAGGGAGGGCAGGCAACAGCACACGTTGCAGGGGACATGGCTACCAACTTGCCCAACCCCTTGTGCTCTCACATTTGAAAGGACAGGACCACCATTCATGGTGCGGCTGACGAGAGACACGTGACCCTCAGTATGAATCCATTCTTCTGTATTAGTAGTGAAATTACTTAACTGTTCCTCACAACAGTTGCACCAAATGGCAATTGCATGTTTTCAGTCAGATGTTTTCATCAACACTTACTAGTCTAGACTGTGATATCAGAGCCACCTGCCTGTGCCCCATCTTCTCCCCTCCCCTCATTCCTGGATGTCTTAGCATATGGAGGAGATTCTCCTTGCTTACCTCTCCTGTTATCCTTGAATTTGTCTGTGTGATGGAACACAAAGCATCAGTAATCAGCTTTGAACTACCACCTTCTCCTTCTGAGTCTGAACTCTGTTTTTCATTTCAGCAAATCACAGTCCCTGACAAACACCTTCAGCATATCTGAATCACCTCAGCGGGGAAATGCCAATGAAGACGAAGCAAAAGCTGAGACCATCCGCAACCTGAGGAAATCATTTGCTAGCCTGTTTTCCGATTAACAGCCCTGCAGCTGGATCTGTGCTTTTGTCAGCCCTCACTCTTCATATCAGCGTACCTGATGTCATCCTGGAATACACTCAATGGTACCCAGCAATTTACAACTAACACCTGGGTAAAGGGAATTTAGAAAAATATAGTTGTTTTAATACAAAGAAAATATTATAATAACGGTCTGAAAAGTGACTGTATAAAAGTGGCACTATTTCATTGTTTTTTGTGCATAATCAGAATCACATCTGTTCAAATGACTGAGTTGTAAAGCAAATTTTACTCTTGCTAACCCCTGTGGAGTCAACACAGTTATGACAGCGTAAACTAGATTTTATTTTGATTTGTATATAGTCAATACAATTCCTAACTTCCAATTACTGAATCCTTGTTGAGGTCGAGCTAAAAAAAAAAAAAAATAGGCTTATTTCAGAAACAGATGTGCAAAGACGGAGTCAAGAGTAAGTATTCATTGACCGATAAAGTGAGCATGCTTGAGCATGGAAACACAGTGAACTGTGGAACTTCATGATACCAGCTTTATCAAAAGTCACTTTTCAGAGCAAAACTACATTCACGTTAAATACCGTACCAGACATCAGTAAGCACCAAAGATCGCATGAGCAGGTCATCCAGATGGACTGCTGGTTTGTTCCAGATCACTCGGCTCGTAGCAGATAAAACGTCTGTTTCATGCCTTGCATTTATGTCCCCTGCACGTGATTCCTGAGTTCTGAGAGAAAAATGTCATGTTCTAACCCTGTAGCCTTAGCTCAAAAATAACCTGAGAAATGGGCCTTCCAAGCAAAAAACAACTTCTTCCCCTGCCCCTGGAAACACCAGAGTTCAGGTTCACAGTTCACACAAATTACAGACAAAACCCAGCTAAACTCGAAGCACTTTGGTGACTTGGTCACATCTGGCTAAGTATGTCCCCCAGGAACATGCTTAATTAATAGCAGAGCTGATGAAGTGCACATACTTGTGTGCTGAGTGTTCCATAATACCAAATGGACAGAGAGATGGAATGAAATCCTGTCTCCCTCCTTGAACTCCCATTGACTTCACCAGGGTGAGTGCAAAATGAATGCAAGGTGACAAACCTGCAATAGAACAGGAAAAGCATCCTTTACAAATAAGATGAGCTGGGGTCCATCCAGAGACACTAAGCCATGGGAGGGCATGAATGGGATTCCCCCAAGCAGGTAACGATCAGTACTAGTCCTCCCCGACCACCCCCAAGAATTATTCTTCCAGAGAAGAGAGAGATGGATCTTTGCCAGGTGTGCTTTTCCTCTAAGCCTGCAATGCAGAATGAAGCTGTGTATGAGCACATATACTAGAACTGGGACATGGCAAAAACCACGAATGACACAAGCTATGTTCACAACTGAAAAAAACACCTTGGGTAAATCAGTGTATCTATGGCTATTTCTACCAGCTGAGAACCTACCCCTTGCCCTGTGCTAGTTCTATTTATCACGCACCTAATGCGGGCGCCAGTCCCCATCCCATCTCCTCAACTTTTCTTCAAGATTTGCCAAGTACTTCAGTCACAAACCGTGCATACAGCTTCACGGCCAGACTTTTGGCTTTGTGTTTCACAACTTCACCTTGATGACACTTGGGAATGCCTAGGGCAAGTTAAAAACATTTGAGCCAATAGCACAAATCTTTGCTGTCACTTAGACATGGAGACCCCCAAAGCAGCAAAAGCAACAGCAGCATCTGCCATCTTATGATCTCATGATTCACCGGTGGGAATAAAGCCAAACAAGCAATTCCTTCCTGCATAGCACCTGTAATGAACATCTAAATCCAATGCAGTCATCTGGACCTTGTATGACCTACCCCCTGAGTAGGCCTTTACACATGTAATGGCTTTTGTGACCTGTGCACTTTCAGGCAAGTAACAGCATAGCTTTTCCAGGTTGGAAGGCTCTCGAGAGACTCGTCTGGATCAACGATTTATACCTCAAGTTCAGTATTATAGAACCACCCTATTCCTGGATGATTTCCCGCCCCCCCCCCCCCCCCAGTTCTGTGTTGTCCTTCCAGGTTTGCTACGCAGTTTACTATGTAGCATCATAAATACACGTCATTGAGAAAAAAAAAGACCCTGCTGTTTTGCAGTCTCCAGGAGCAATAAAAGAGTGACAAATGGCCTTGAGCAAGCACTGTCCCACTGGCAAGAACAATAGCAGATTAACAGGCTCCACTATATGGAGAAGAGGTAATACAACCCTGGTGGGAGAGGATTTCCTTCTATAACACTTCCCTCAGCATGGTTTATGCCTTTCCCTTCTAAATGGTCACCAGAGATGCAAAGACAAAAATAAAAGTTTACTGCCAGAATCCTCAATTGCTCTATCCCCTGAATCTTTTTATGTCTCTCTTACCAACACAACCTATACTATAAGTAACTAACTAGTGACTAGCACGGCATGGCCCTGTAAATCGACCCCAGTTCATCACTGAAACCACAATGGCTGGATCATTTGCTGATGCTGCATTTGAACACAACAGGGCTGTCCTCCAGCGGACCACAGTAACAGGATAGCACTGTTGACTTTATACGCAGCAATGACTCAGATCTCTTCATTTGCCTGCAGCTCCCAGCTGTCATCTTTCACGGGACAAGCAAACAGAATGGCATCTCCCCTCCTCCTAGCTCCAGCTTGTAAAAGCAACAGGCACTCTCAGCTTAACTTGGTTACTCCTATAGTTCCTGAAAAGCATCTTCAGTTCTATCCACAGAAGTGCTTTAATGAAAACACTGAGTTGATTTCCTAAGTTAAAATGATGAAATTCTATATGTGTCCTATAAATATTCCAACAATACACGTCAATCGACAACTATGATGCTCACATACTAAATGTTGTGGCTAGCAGGAGATTCACAAATGCATCATCACGTATTCAGGTTATCCACTTTGATGCAGGGTTTCTATTCCAAAATCCCTACGATCTAACAAAGCAAGAGAGAGAGGGAATACAAGGTGTATATTCTCCATTTTATGAATGGGGAACTAAGGTATACCCAAGAGGTATTTAGGTACCTAAATCTAACAGCTGGAGTTAGAGGCAGTAAGAAGGCAACAGAAAAGTTGGCGAGTAGAAGTTACATTTAAATCACAGGGCAGGCATGCCCCACAGCACGCCTTGGGATCTTTCTTACACAGCTGTGGAAACTGAGCACCTGGTCAGACCTTCCCTTTTGTCCTGCATGCTTTTTCTTCAAATAGAAGCCAGAAAAGAAACATGAATAGATTTGTGTGTTTGGATCCAGCCCAAGAAGGAGCTGGGACACAGCTAAGACATCCACTCATATCCACCACGTGGAAAATTAATTTACATTTTGCTGTTTATATACAAGACTGAGAAACACCATGACTTTCTTGTAGTATCTAGGTGTGGTATTTCAAGAGGAATGTCACTTATGTTCCCATGCAACTAGAAGTCTCCTATAAAGCTACGGTTCAGAAGAATAGCGGTCCTGCTCCAATAACTGCTGCAGTATTTTCTTCTCTTTCACTAATCACAGGCAGGTACACAGAACCTTACACCCTGCATATGACCCAGTTACTTCATCGGGTTGGCTTAAGTTTCATTAATAACATAAAACAATAAATAGAAAAGCCAAGGACAATAGTTCCTTATTTCCAAGTGACTTAGTAGCAACCCTAACAGTGCTGGATACAGATGAACAGTACAGGTAAAAATGCCCATCTTCAGGCATTTCACCTTTTGTGATTTCTCTTCTATAGAGTTTGCAAATGGCAATGACACTCATACCTGGCTTAGGAGCTGGTGAATAAACAAAAGTTTTCAAATATTTCCTCTGTTTTGTCTTCTAATTTTATACTGTTGGTCCCAACAACGAAGAAAGTGAAGGAATATCTTCAAGTCACTTAGTGGTGTATCTGTAAAAAGGTTGAATTCATTTCTTCAAAAACAAACATTCAAATGACAAAATCAAGGATAAACAGATGCTGTGGCATCAGCCTGGCAGAAGTAGGACGAGGTTGTCTTCGTGGCAGAGAGGGCCCGACTCCAGAGCAGCATGGGGCGTGCCAGCAGAGCAAGCAACTGATTGTCATCCAGGCGCTGGTAATGTGAGTACCACTGGCGCCACAAAATTAACATATCTCACACACACAGAGATCATTGTTCCCAGAAATAATAGCTTGAAAAAAGTGAAAAGAGTAAGTTAAAAATTATTTTACCAATTAAAGCTGTATAACCTTATCTGAATATTGTGTATGCATTTCTGAAGCACTCATCACAAGGACAAAATGGTGCAAGACCAACGCAGTGTAGATTTCCCTTTTCCTTTTTACAGTCAGTGGAATATAAAGAACCACTAAGCTCTAAGAGGCCTGACTACACACTGAAGTGAAAATTCTGTTGGAACACGGCAATTCAACCACTGCAGGCAAATGTTAAAAATTAAGGCTGATCTTGGTATTGAAGGGAAGCCACTGTCCCCCTATTCTATAAACACATACTCTTAGGTGTTTAATCATGGCAGGATTTGCACTGGTATGCCGTTGCTGTGAAGTATAGAAGGGAAAAAAGAAGAAATACAACTTTTGACAGCAAAATAAAGTATAATATTTTACTTCCACTGGAGTTAATGGCAAAACTTCTTGACCCTACTGAAGTCAACTGATTTTATACAAAACAAGAAGATGAATCACATATTACTGATTAAATAACTTGTATTTAATAGGAAACATCATTGCATTTCCACTGTTGAAATTTCAAAAAGATTTTAGAAAATAACAGCTGTCACAACAGTCATCAGTACCATTTACATTTACAGAAACACTGAGATCAACCCATCTTAAAAAAATATGTAAGAAATGAAAAGTTCTAGCAAAGTTTAGTCATTCCAGTCTTCCTTTAATTGAGCTCCAGCATCAGCCTGCAGATCTCATCAAGAGACTTTAACAGTGCTCTTGTTAGTTGCTCATTAGTTAATAAAACAACACTTGAAAGGTGCTCATAACATGCTACAACACATTTCCTCTTGGCAAGATATATTCTGATACTTAAGTAATGGAATTAAATGAAATTTACTGCAGTAAAGTGAGAATTCATTCTGCTTCTGCTGTGATCCCATTTCCACTGCAACCAGGTCAATCTATGTAATTCCTTAAGTTAAGCAGGAGGAAAGATTTATTTTTGCACCAGTTTTGGGTCACACACAGTAAATGCAGCCATGTACTACAGCTCCTTATTTGTAAAGTCAAGGAGAAAGACAAAAGTTTTGCTGCTGGTTCTTTGTAAAATTGCTCTGCTTCTGTTCAGACTTCTGAGCTGCACTGTAGCATGACTTTACTCAGTTGTTTGTAAAATGAACTGATTTGTGTTCTAATATTTCCATTGTAAAGAAAATCCCTTCCCTGTATTCTTTGTGTATTAAGTAACAATACAAAAATGCTTTTTACCTAATAAAACATTAAAGGAAAAAGGAAATGTCACCTTTGAAAATTTCTACGAACTCACATCTACCATAATAGTGGTAGCA